TTATTCAGAAGCGTGTTGTTTAGCCTCCATATGTTTGAATTTTTAATAATTTTTTTCCTGTAATTGAGATCTAATCTTACTGCACTGTGGTCAGAAAAGATGACTGGAATGATTTCAGTTTTTTTGAATTTACCAAGACTAGATTTAATTTAATTGAGATTTTAATTAAAAGATTTTTATTAAAATTTTTTACTTTAAAAAATAAATTTTTAAAAAATTAAAAGATTTTATTAAAAAGTTAAAGAATTTTAAAATTCAGAGATTTTAAATTATTAAAATTAATAAACTTATTAAAAATTAAGAGTTTCAATATACCAGTATAACAACTGGACCCTATGATTATTCCTCCTATGAGCTCTAGACTCTTACTTCCCACTGCCATGGGCTTGCTAGTCCAGGGCTAGCTGACTATTCAGAATAAATCAGAACCAAGCTTTCAGGGTCAGTAGCTGGGCTTAGAATGAAAAGAGATACAGAAACAATATTTATATTCTGTTTTTCTCTATGTTCTAAATATTCATAAGAAAAGCATTTAAAAAAAATTTATCTTTAACAAGTTCAAATGAGATGAAAAAGGAGAGGAGCCAGCTCTAGATTAAAGGATTCTTAAGAAACATAACAATAAGATGTATTGTGACCTTGTTTGGATTGTGACTAAAATAGACTAATTGAAAAAAAAAAAAAGGCTAATTGTAAGACATTTTGAGACCATTGGGGAAGTCTGAATAGGGACTGATAGGTATTAATATTGCTAGGTATGATAATGACTTTTTTGTTATTTCCATATTCTGTATAAATACTTACTGAAGTATTAATATGTATAGGTAATATTATGACATCTGGAATTGTTTTAAAGTTTTTAAGTAAATTAAAGAAGAAAAAAGGCATAGATGAAAAAGCAGTGGCAAAATCTTGGTAACTCTTGAATCTGGGTGATGGAGGTTCATTATAAGGATTATTTCCCTACTTTTGGTATGTTGAAGAATTTTCATAATAGTGAAAAAAAAGAATTCAGAGATAGCTTATGAGTAGTAGGAAGACAAATTATAGTAAGCCAGGGGCCAAAGAGTCACCCCAAATACCTTTCTAACTGGAGCTTGATGCCAGCAAAGGTAAACTGCAAATTCAGAACAAAAGATGAACCAGAGAGATTTAATGGCACCAGATGGGGACAGTGATTAAGGATCTAATTATTAAGAGGCCAGATGACAAGTTGTGTTTGACTGGGTTGTGAAGGGACAGCTGGGTTTTTAATGCTTTGCCTTAAACAGTTACATGGCCAGCGTTGTAAGAGTATGGAAATTTTATGTTTTTGGTGTTTTACTTAGTTTTTAAACATAATTTATAATTGTTATTACTATTATTATTATGAAGGTAATGATGCCAAGTCCGTAAGCAAGCAGTATTCTCTGAAAGTAACAAAACTTGAACATGAAGCAGAACAAGCAAAAGTGGAATTAACTGAAACACAAAAGCAGCTACAGGAACTGGAAAACAAAGATCTTTCTGATATTGCTTTGAAGGTAAAATTACAGAAGGAGTTCCGTAGAAAGATGGATGCCGCTAAGCTAAGAGTCCAGGTAATTTAAAAAATGCAATTGAGAAAACTTATTTAAGGCTTCCTGCTTTTGAGGATTCTTATACCTAGTTAGCAAAGAAGTAGGATTCAGTTTTTACCAGAAGAACTGGAAGGCAAGTTTTCTTTTCCAGTATGCTGGTGGGTTTGCATAGTTGTAGTCTGGGGTAGTGTATTTCTTCATTCAAGAAATGTATTTTAACCTTTTTATCAAAACCACATGATTGTAAATGAAGATAACCACAGAAATAGTGTTATTTTCTGAAGGATAAAAGATTAACTAATGATTAAATAACCATATATAAAACATCTGGTATGTGTATAGCACTTTCTTGACATTCAACAATGATAACTTTCAGATAGTTTTCTGAAATTATAACTGATTGGTTTAAGAAAGGTTAGTAACTGAGTACTACTACATCTTATTCTTAATTTCCTAATGCTGGACTTTGCTATAACTTCAAATATAGCTCTAGTTAAAAACTTATATTCTATGAGAAATACTCCATTAGAGAAAGTTACTGTGTATGAGGTTATTCCCAAATGCTTTCGGTATGGTCAGAGTGTTTTGTTAGTCTGCTTATAGTGAATTTGCTAAAATGCCTTTTCTATTTCTTTTGATTACTGATAGTAATTCTTTTTTTTTGTTTGTTTTTTCATTTATTTTTATTAGTTGGAGGCTAATTACTTTACAATATTGTAGTGGTTTTTGCCATACATTGACATGAATCAGCCATGGATTTACATGTGTTCCCCATCNCATTTATTTTTATTAGTTGGAGGCTAATTACTTTACAATATTGTAGTGGTTTTTGCCATACATTGACATGAATCAGCCATGGATTTACATGTATTCCTTGTCCCAATCCCCCCTCCCTGATAGTAATTCTTATACTCAAAATCAGCAAGAACCAGTCTCGTGGTAAGCAGTCTATTCAGATTCTCTATTTATTCATGATTCAGTCCTGGAAGATTGTAGGTATCTAGCAATATATCCATTCTATGTTATCCAATTTTTTGGTTTATAATTATTGAGAATAGTCTGTTAAGATCCTTTGTATTTCTGTGGTTCAGTTCAGTTCAGTTGCTCAGTCGTATCCGACTCTGCAACCCCATGGACTGCAGCACACCATGCCTCCCTGTCCAGCACCAACTCCCAGCGTTTACTCAAATGCATGTCCATTGAGTCGGTGATGCCATCCAACCATATCATCTATCGTCCCCTTCTCCTCCCACCTCAGTCTTTCCCAGCATCAGGGTCTTTTCCAATGAGTCAGTCCTTCGCATCAGGTAGCCACAGTATTGGACTTTTAGCTTCAGCATCAGGTCTTCCCATGAATATTCAGGACCGATTGCCTTTAGGATGAACTGGTTGGATCTCCTTGCTGTCCAAGGGACTCTGAAGACTCTTCTCCACACCACAGTTCAAAAGCATTTCTGTGGTATCAGAATATAAATTCAGAAACAAATTCTCTTTCATTTCTGATTCTATTTTATTTCTTTTTTTCTTGCTGAGCCTGGCTAAGTTGTCAATTTTATTTATCTTTTCAAAGAAACAGCTCTTAGTATTGATCTTTTCTGTTGTTTTCTTTTAGTCTCTTATTTCATTTATTTTTGCTCTGATCTTTATTATTTTCTTTCTTCTACTAATTCTGGGCTTTGATTGCTCTTCTTTTCCTAGTTTCTTTAGGTGTAATGTTAGAAGATTGTTTATTTGAGATTTTCTTGTTTCTTGATGTAAGCCTGTATCACAGTGCACTTTCCTCTTAAAACTGCTTTTGCTGTGTCCCATAGATTTTGGACAGTTGTGTTTCCATTTTCATTTGTCTCAAGGTATTTTTGATTCTTTTCTTTGTTGACCCATTGGTTGCTTAGTAGCACATTGTTTAGTCTTCACATGTTTGTGTTTTTTCCTAGTTTTCTTGATATAGCCAAAATTATTATTTTTCTAAGGAGGTTATAGCCAAAATTATTATTTTGCTATGGAGGTTATTATATTTGCCATAGAAATCTATAGCTTAAGCCTTATTTGTGGATCTAGCAAAGATTATTTTTATGATTGAGATTAAAAGATTACATGAAGAATTATTTATAGTATTTGTGAATTATCATGTCCTTTTTTGTTTTCCATGTTTCTTGCTGTGTAATTTTTTCTGCTGAGAGTACTGATAAGGAAAGGAAAGAACTTAAGTTCAAAAGAAACTCTGATAGGCCAAGGACTGAAATAAGTTTCCCATATAGTTTTAGAAATTTCTGTGCCTTTGCCATATGCATGCACAGCTGAGGATGCTCTAGATGACAAGGATGGTGGTAGGGAGAAGAAGAAGGGTGATGGTTAAGTGTCTACAAAGTACTCTATACACATGAGATGTTTTATATGTAGTATTTAATCATTAATCCTTTGAAGTGTATATTTTTACACACTTACAAACAAGGAAACTGGTTTATGAAGATAAAATAACTTACTCATGGTCATATAATTGTGATGATAAAAGTGGTTTTCGGTACACTAACATTTCATACCATTTAAAAATATTGAAATACTGGTTGTTTTATTGGTATAATGAAGTTATTTTAGTTTTTAAAACTCAAATTTGTTTTAATTAAAAAATCTGAAATCTGTGTTCTTTGCCTTTAGATATATATAGCGTTGTATGCTGTATTAATATTTTAATGCTAACAGAGCACATTCCACATTTGAGCATCTGTGGAATAAGCACAAAAGACATTGATAACCTATCTCACTCTTAAGTAAGATTATCAGTACCTATACTGATGTTTTCAATATCATGTGGAAAAGACACTATAGTACTAATATTAACATTTTTGCTCCAATATTGCAATTACTGTCAAAAATAAGTGACAAAACCAGGGTCCAAATTCGGACTTGGGAAACTGCAGAGCCCTGTGGCATCCAAGCTGGTAGTGCTCCAAGTAGTCCACTGCAGATTGTCCATTATTGGTCTGCAGTAGGATAAAGGCAGATAGGGGCACAGCTTCCCTCATCAAAAAAGTCTTGCCTGGAAACACCATCAGCCGAATCTAATAATGTCCTTCATGGTGCAGGCTGACAGCAGTCTGTGAGTGGTACTGGTCCACAGACCACCCTTTGAATAGCCCTGCTCCTAAGCTACAATGTGTCTGTGAATACGCATTAAAACAAATTAAAACAAAATGTGTTTTCTTCCCCAGCAGTTTATTGCCAAGATAAAAGAAATAATTAATTGTAGTCTGCATGACTTACAAATAACCTCACCTTAACTTTATTTCATGTGAGATGTACTTAGTGCAGTGCTAAAGTACATAATACAAATTTATGTTTGTTTGATCAAGATTAAATTGAAACACTGGTATTTTATATTAGTAAACTTCACAGATATTCACAGATTTTTAGTGTTGTCTATGGGTAACTTTTGCTAGAGAGGAAAAGCTTTATTTATGAGAGTTAAAATAATAACTATAATGGTTACTCTCTGGGAAAATGGTACATTTCTGATCATTTTAACTCAGGGATTAATGATTTAGGCTATAGCTGGATTTTAAATACAAGTACAATAGAATACTATGCAGTCACATAGAAAGAACAAATCTATGTGAAAAGATCTCTAAGGTAAATTATATAGAAAAAAAAGGAGGTGGAGAATAGTCTACCTAGAATATATATACATAAAGTTATTTATATGTGTATAAATTATTTCTCAGAGAATACTTAAGAAATTGGTAATTTTGTTTCAGGAAGCAGGACAGGTAGATTAAAGAGTCTTTTTAAATATAAGTTCAGTTTTGTATTGTTTTAATTTTTATTGTGTACTTAAAGTATTTTTAAATTAAAACACTCAAAAAAAAAAAAAAAAACAGTGATGTTGGTTTTGTTCTGTTTGGCTGCCAGCACCAGGAAGGCTCATCATTCTTTACATCTTGTGAAAATTCTGATAGTTGACCGATTGTAAAAGTAGAAGTATAGAAAACAGTTGTGAAACTGTCAAGAATAAATTAAAATCTAGGAAGAAATGCCAACATGCGTAATTAAATGGAAAGTTTTAAGTTTACTGGAAGGATATGAGAGATGCAGTTTTTCATTTTTAAATATTCCATGTGATCCAGGTCTTACAGAAGAAGCATCAAAATAGTAAGAAATTGGCATCACTGTCAATCCAAAATGAGAAACGTGCTAATGAACTAGAGCAGAATGTAGATCACATGAAATATCAAAAGGTACAGCTGCAAAAAAGACTTCGAGAAGAAAACGAAAAAAGGAAGCAACTGGATGCAGAAATTAAGCGGGATCAACAAAAAATCAAAGTAATATTGTCATACTTTCCTGCTAAGCATAATATGAAATGTTCAACGGCTCAGAGCTAATGAAACCAAGGTCTTGATTCAGTTGGCATGTGAGGTATCTAACCTTGGCCTGTCCTTGGCTGCTGTTCCCATTCACCTTATAACTTTGTTGATCTACATAGTAAAAGCTATTTATTGAATTCTGAGTACTGTCTTGAAGGCTTTGACTTCACAAAAGAAAGTGCAATGATAATTTCTCTAACTAGGACCTTAACTTCAGTTGAGGCTGTCAAAAACATAAATTTATGAAGCTGACTTTCTAAAAAATATCCAACATTTGACTAGGATTCCCCATTTTCAAAGTGCTTTGACATGCCTTATCCATGTGTCAGCATAGGAAAAAGTACACAGTAAAAATGATGGTACCATTTCATTCCTAGTATGCAGAAAAGTGATCGGACCTGTATGCCTAGCAGTTCTAGGCTGGGGAGGAACTAGTGGTATCAGCCCAGGCTCTGGAGCTTGGCTGGTGTGTATTCAGATCCCAACTCTCTCATTCTTGGCTGGACCATTTATTGGGAAAATCACTTACCTTCTCTGTGTCTGTTAATTCTTAAGTATCCTTATCATACTTGCCTCAATAGGACTCTTCTGAAGAAAAGGAGGCTGATAATATCATGTCAACACCAATAATGAACACTTATCTAGCACTGTGTACCAGGCTCTGTTCCATTGAAATGTTAAGCCGAACCCAAGGTTTGGGACATAATTGGAGGTTTCCTAGATTTTAAATTTAGGAAAATAACATATTCTCAGACCTTAGAAAAAAGAATGACAGAATTTAGATATGGAAGGGAACTTAAAGAACATTTAAGCCAAGTTACTGATTATTTTTTATTAAACACTTTTATTGAGCTATACTTCATGTATTACAGTTTACCAATGTAAAGTGTATAGTTCAGTGAGTTTTGGTATATTATATTATTGATTTTTATAAACTGTGGTAAAATATAATATGAAATTGAACATTTTTACCTTGTTTAAGCATATAATTCAATGGCATTAATTATATTCACAGTGATGTGCAACCATCATCTCTAGCTTTTTTTAAACCTTTTCATCACTCTCAGTAACCATTAAGCAGTGAGTCCTTTTCCCCCTCCTCCCCCCAGCGCCTGGTAATCTTAATCTACTTCTATATTTACGAATTTGCCTATTCTCAACATTTTATAAAAGTGAAATCATACAATATTTGTCCTGTGTCTGGCTTATTTCATTTAGCATAAAGTTTTCAAAGTTCAGCCATGTTGTAGTATATATCAGAACTTCATTCCTTTTTATGAGTGGGTAATATTCCATTATATGCCTACACAACTTTTTTTTTCTACATTTATCTGATAGACACTTGGATTGTTTCCACCTTTTGGCTGTTGAATAGTGCTGTGATAAACATTGGCATACAAGTAACTGTTCAAGTACCTGCTTTCAATTTGGACTTGAAATACCTCGATGTGAAATTGCTGGATCATATGCTAATTATATGCTTAGCTTTTTCAGGAACCACCAACTGTTTCTGATAGTGACAGCACCATTTTACATTCTGACCAACAATGTTTGAGGGGTCTGATTTCTCATCTTCATCAACACTTGTTATTTTCTGTTTCTTTTTTATTATAGTCACCCAAGTACATGTGAAATGGAATGTCATTATGATTTTGATTTGCATTTCCATATTGACTAATGATATTGAGCATCTTTTCATGTGCTTATTGGCCATTTGTATATCTTCTTTGGGGAAAAGTCTTTTGAAGTTGTCTTTTTTAATTGGATTGTCTTTTGTTACTGAGTTGTGGGAATTCACTCTGTATTCTGGACATTAAACCTTATTTGATACATGACTTCCAAATATTTTTTTTCCATTCTGTAGATTATCTTTGCATTTTCTTGATAATATTCTTGATGTACCAAAGTTTTACATTTGTATGATGTTCCAGTTTATCTATGTTTCCTTTTCTTCACTTGTGCTTTTAGTGTTGTTTCTAAGAATTCTTTTCCAGATCTAAGATTATAAGGATTTACCCACCCCTGTGTTGTCTTCTGGAGTTTTATGGTTTTAGCTTTTGTGTTTAGGTCCTTGGGCCATTTTGAGTTAATTTTTGTATGTGGTGTGAGGTAGGGGACCACTTTCGTTCTTTTGCATGTGGAAATCCAGCACCATCTACTGAAAGACAGTTATTTTTCTGTTGAATGGACTTGGTACCCTTGTCAAAAATCAGTTGACTATAGATCTATGAATTTGTTTCTAAACATTCAGTTCTATTCCATTTGTTTCTGTGTCTGTCCTTGTGCCAGTACATGCTGTTTTGATTACAGTAGCTTTGCAGTAGATTTTGAAATTGGGAATTAAGTTCTCCAACTTTGTACTTTTCCAGCATTGTTTTGGCTGTTCAAGGACCTTTGCCATTCCATATGAATTTAAGGGTCAGCTTTTCCATTTTGGCAAAAAGGTGATTAGAATTTTGATACAGATTGTGTTGACTGTGTGGCAATATTAAGTTTTCTTATCCAGGAGCGTGCGGTGTCTTTTTTTTTTTTTTAGTATTTTCTCCATTTTATTTATTTATTTATTTCATTGCCTGTGCTGAGTCTTCATTGCTCTGGGTTTTTTCTCTAGTTGTGGTAAGTGAAGGGCTGCTCTTCATTGCAATGAGCAGGCTTCTCATTGCAGTGGCTTCTCTTGTTGGGGAGCATGGGCTCTTGACATAAGGGCTTCATTAGTCACAGCATGTGAGCTCAGTTGTAGTTCCTGGGATCTAGAACACAGGCTCAGTAGTTGTTCTGCAGGGGCTTAGTTGCTCCACAGCATGTTAGATCTTCCTGGATCAGGGATTGAACCTGTGTCTACTGCATTGGCAGGTGGACTCTACCACCGAGCCATGGGAGAAGCCCTGGAGTGGTCTTTTCATTTCTGCTTTAATTTCTTTCATAGTATTTTATAATTTTTAGTGTGCTAGTCTTTTACCTTCTTGGTTAAATTTATTCCCAGATATTTTATTCTTTTAGGTGTTATTGTAAATGGAATTGCTTTCTTAATACCCTTGAGTTACTTATTCTTAATACTGTGATAATTATTATTATAGAAAATAAATAACATTTATTATTTATCTTCATTTGATACTGTGCTCAGCACTTACATGCTTCATCTCATTTATGTCTTTTTATGTTCCTATATTTCCAGCTTTTCTTTTTCTGCTAGGTTCTTTCTTTAAACAGCTTAGATTTTTCGCATCTGAAAATTATTCTTCATCAACTTTATACTTCTGCCTGTCTCTCCTCTTCCCTTTATAACCAAACTGCTTGGAAAAGTTTACTGTATTTGATTCTGTATCTTTTCTTTTCATTTGTTCTCTTGTCTTCTCCAGTCTGGTTTCTGGGTCTTGGCTGTACCATTCACTTCAAAGCTCTTGAGAAGTACATCCATGCTCTCTCTGTGACTGAAGTCATTAACACTGCTTTCAGCATAGTTAACTACTTCCTCCATCTTGAGATATTTTCCCCTCTGCATTTGTGAAGTTATATTCACCTTGTTTTTTCTTGTCTGATTGCTTGTTCTTTGTCTTTGCTAGCTTATCCTACACTACTGTTTCTTTACTTACAGGGATCACTCCAGACTCTAACCTATGTCCTCTTTATCTTCCGTACTTTGGCCTGGTTGACATCTCATCTCTTTTCCCATGGCTACAGTTTAACTCTGACAGCTCCCAGATTTAATCCTTGATACCAGATTTGCCATTAGAACTATGGATTCACACATCCAACCACTGGCATCTTTATTAGGTTGTCTTATAGGTGATCCACACAGTCAAAAGCTTTGGCATAGTCAATAAAGAAGTAGATGTTTTACTGGAATTCTCTTGATTTTTCGATGATCCAGTGCATGTTGGCAATTTGATCTCTGGTTCCTCTGCCTTTTCTAAATCCGGCTTGAACATCTGAAAGTTCACGGTTCACATACTGTTGAAGCTTATCTTGGAGAATTTTGAGCATTACCTTGCTAGCGTGTGAGATGAGTGCAACTGTGCGGTAGTTTGAGCATTCTTTGGCATTGCCTTTCTTTACGATTGGAATGAAAACTAACCTTTTCCAGTCCTGTGGCCACTGCTGAGTTTTCCAAATTTGCTGGCATATTGAGTGCAACACTTTCACAGCATCTTCTTTTAGGATTTGAAATAGTTCAGCTGGAATTCCATCACCTCCACTAGCTTTGTTCATAGTGATGCTTCGTAAGGCTCACTTGACTTTGCATTCCAGGATGTCTGGCTGTAAGTGAGTGATCACACCATTGTGATTATCTGCATCGTGAAGATCTTTTTTGTATAGTTCTTCTGTGTATTCTTTCACCTTTTCTTAATATTTTAATGCCAAAGCCTTTGACTGTGTGGATCACAACAAACTGGAAAATTCTTCAAGAGATGGGAATACCAGACCACCTGACCTGCCTCCTGAGAAATCTGCATGCAGCTCCAGAAGCAACAATTAGAACTGCACATGGAACAACAGACTGGTTCCAAATGGAAAAGGANCTGAAACTCCAATACTTTGACCACCTTATGCGAAGAACTGATTCATTGTAAAAGACCCTGATGCTGGGAAAGATTGAAGGCGGGAGGAGAAGGGTCCGACAGAGGATGTGATGGTTGGATGGCATCACTGACTCAATGGACGTGAGTTTGAGTAAGCTCCATGAGTTGGTGATGGACAGGGAGGCCTGGCGTGTTGCAGTCGATTGGGTTGCAAAGAGTCGGACACGACTGAGCGACTGAACTGACTGACTTATAGGTGAATTCAGTATCTTCCTTATCTCCCCACTGCTCTTCCTCTCTGCTCCCTTAATGGGGGAGAAGGTATAGTTTTCCAGTGTACTGTACTTGACATTTCAGTGCATTCAGTTGAGCAAACTAGAAATTTATCAATCATTCTTGACTCCGTCCTCTTCCTCCTTACCCATATCCAATGAACCAAAAAGTTTTATAAACTGAATCTTCTGATGATCAGTTCTCATTTCATTGCCAACAGCATGGTCTGTTTGTTGCAGTCCTTCCTCCAATCTGAGGAGCAGCCCTGTCTCTCAGTCCTATGGTCTTTGGGTCTCAGCTTCTCATCTCTCATGAATCCTGGCTTAAACCATCAAGACATAGCACTGTCTAAATCTTTGTCTGGGGAAAAGAAAGAAACTTTTGAGTAGAACACGTAGTCTGCTGAAATGGAACTCTTCTGGTAACTAAAACTTAGCACTTTCTTATCTAGGGTAATTTTGTTCCTTCTAGCCATATCTCTTATTCTAGGGAAATATGACCCATTTAAGGGCGAGAATGAGTATTCCAGGAAAAGAAACGGTCTGCCCTGAAAATACATTGAAATTTCTATTACTTCATGCAAAAATAGCATCTGCTCAGAGTCCTAAGGGACATCTTGTTTGCTGTTTTGGAACTTGCTTTCTAACATTTCATTTTCCACATGACTAAACCATTTCCAGTGAATACTAGGACTTCTGCATAGGTTCTTTTTAGAGCAGCAGTTCTTAACTGAAATAATAAAGAAAAGGTATGGGAACCCCTGAAATCGTGGATCAGTGTGTGATATGGGACTTCTCTAAGCACCAATTTCCTCACCTGTAAAATGGGATTTATAATGGTATCTTGTTTCATAAGATTATTGTGAAGATTAAATGAGATAATTAAATAGATGTAAAAAGCATAGCACAGTACCTGGTAGACAGCTATTTTAATATTATGTTGCTGTTGCTGCTGCTAAGTCACTTCAGTCGTGTCCTACTCTGTGTGACCCCATAGACAGCAGCCCACCAGGCTCCCCCGTCCCTGGGATTCTCCAGGCAAAAACACTGAAGTGGGTTGCCATTTCCTTCTCCAATGCATAAAAGTGAAGTTGCTCAGTCGTGTCCGACTCTTTGCGACCCCATGGACTGCAACCTACCAGGCTACTCCATCCATGGGATTTTCCAGGCAAGAGTACTGGAGTGGGTTGCCATTGCCTTCTCCAAATATTATGTTAGGGATTACAATATATGGTAAAGGTAATAATGTTTAGAGCAACATACAGAAGAGGGGATTAGATCACCTGTTATATACTTTCAAAGCATGTGTAGAAAAACAAATAGTAGAGAGTCAACCCTGGTATAAGGTGCCTTTATTTCAGCATCCTAAAGTCACCGTGACTGTGACAGGAGCTGAATTACAACTGTGAACAAGCAATAGGGAAGCATGAAAAATTAATGGTTAGTAAATATGAGGGTCTAAATCCACTCATAATTCAACTCAAGTGGGCATAGAAAATTTCTTTATTGAGTCTATAGAAGCCTCGTGTTCTTTATGACACCCCTCCCACCCTGCCCAGCCCAATCCATGTCGTCATAATTGCTCGAAATATAGGAACTAACCAAATATCCAATCTGTTCAAAACTTATCCTGATAGTTCAGACATTTCCTTCAAATAATTCTCAGTTCTCTTGAATAAGAATATTCAATTTCTTCCTCCCCATGCTTCTCAAAGATAGGTTGTAGTGTATGCAGTGTTCCATTGTGCGGCTTTATTGCATCACATCGAGTTGAGGAGGAGGGACTTCCTGAGTTTCAGTTGGTTCTTGCATGTGACTGGCTGGAATCTGCACTCCCTTGCCCACCTATCCCTCCTGGCCCCTGGTGTGAAGCCAGTATAGTCTGTAGACTGGTCTTACTTTCAGTGTAGAGTGTGGAGGAGCTTTGGCTTCATCTCTTTTCCTAATGGCATTATAAATCCTTCTTGAGACTACGAGGTCTTCCATCTAGCTTGCTAGTCCAGGCGCCTGTCCTCACCTTCAGTTCTGGGGTCAGTTCCCCAGGATAACTGACCCTATTTGTCCTCAACTTGTCATCCTCATTCTCCAAGTGCAAGGAGTCCCATTAGTCGCTGTTTCCTGATCATAGTTCTATTCTTTCAGCAAGGCTGCATGAACCTATGTGGGTGTGAAGCCTCTGCACTGCAGTCCCCATTCTCTCTGCCCTCATTGACACCTTTACTTATCATCCCCTTCCTAGGTCAAAACTCAAGAGAACTGTGATACACATATTTCTTATTCTCTTTTTCCTCCTTTCTGCCATTTCCAGACCTGGAAAATGGTGGACTTCCCTTTTACTTACATTTTTTCAGTGCTTCCAAAATTCCCTATGGAAAAGGTACAATTTGGGGGTCTTCCCTGGTGGCTCAGATGGTAAAAAATCTGCTTGCAATGCAGGAGACTCGAATTTGATCCCTGGGTGGGGAAGATCCCCTGGAGAAGGGAATGGCAACCCACTCCAGTATTCTTGCCTGGGAAATTCCATGGACAGAGAAGCCTGGTGGGCTACAGTCCATGGGGTCGCAAAGAGTCGGACACAACTGAGCAACTAACACACACACAAGGTACAATTTTGATTTTATTATGAATTTGTCAGTGCCCAATACCTTTGTAAAACAAGAACTAGTAGAAAAATGAAATAAAAATTAAACAATAAAAGTCTCTTAATTATTAGATTCAATAGACAAAATTATTCTGTTAAATTGTTGTAAAAGGTTCTAAACACTTACTTTTAATTTCTGTACTTATCCATCATGGACCAGTAAGAAATAGCAGTGCAGACCAGCCCACTTTGAGTTCATGGCCTCCTTCCAGATTCTTGCTAAGCTTTGGTGGTGGACAGTAACATCGTCTCTAAACCCCAGTAGAACACCTGGGCCCTCTTGAGTTGACTCTTAAGATGTGAATGGAAACTGAGGGAGTTTGGAAAATACTCTTCAGAGGACCATGATCAGTCTTGAAATACTATTCTCATGCTGCAAAATCTGAGCTTTGAATGCTAGAACCTGAGTATTACTTTTCTTTTTACATTTCTCCTGTGATAAATTCTAATATCCCTATTGCAGATGGATACCTTGGGTGGACTCGCTGAAGGTAATGAACTCAGAAAGGCAAGAGAAAAGTAGATTTATAATTTTCATACTCTTAGCCCTGTTACTCTAATTTGTAACACTGGCGAAAAATGAGAAAAATACCTAGCTTTTCTAGTGAATGCTGATTTTTGCTGTGAAATTTTATTGCTTGAATGAAGGGCTACCATTATTTTCTTCCTTAATAGCCCCAAGCTTCATCTGCTTGATTTCTTTCTTTTTGTAACTAGGAAAGTAAATATTAAAATGATTATCTGCATAAATACTTAATGATGGCCATGTAGTAAAAGCAATAAGGTGATTTTAATTCCTGTTTTCTATAGGAACTACAGTTAAAAACAGAACAGAAAGATCTAAAACTGAAAGCTGAGGACCTTGATGCATTTAAGATGAAAAGGAGAAAAGGTTCGTTTGGAAGTATAGACCAACTCCAGGTTTGTCGATTCTATTTAGTGTTTCCTGGTTTCTTTTCGATTTGATGATTGTCTAAGTAGAGGTAAAAAGAGTTGGACTCTAAATAAAATCTTTAAACACTAGACTTTGTTGCTGGAGTACAAAATTTCTAATATTTCTTTTGAAACTTTTCTGTTATTAAAAATTAATTTCTCATCCAGAAATGTGCTATACTTTTTTTTGTTTTGTTTTTAATTTATTTTTAACTGGAGGATAATTGCTTTACAGTATTTTGTTGGTTTCTACCAAACATCAACATGAATGCTATATTCTTACTTCAGTAGAAATGAGTTTATTTGAATGTTGTGAAATGTAAACATGAAAACTAGATTGTCTTTATCCTTATGTCAAGACTGGTTTATTCCCCTAGAAACAGATATATTTCTCAATATACCCCTAGAAACAGGTAATATTTCTCAAGATAAGAGCTCTACTCAAACACAACCAAATTGTTTATGCACCATGTGTAATATATTAAAAAGCTATTGTCTTAATGCCACATTTAAAAAATGAAATTCATAAATTAACATCAAAGTTCAAAGAAACAAAATTTTATGTAAATTAGGAATAGCAGTACTAAAAGTCTTAAAAATTACTGTACTTAAAACTCTAATTACCCTCAAATGCAAATGCATCAACCTAATTCTAAAAAAATTATTTGCTCTTCTTAAATCTTATATATTAATATTTTAACACTAAGATTTAGGACATGCATGTATTCTAAGTTATTTTACTAGTACTTTTTAGAAATTGGTTAAAGAGCTTTCTCTCTGACATGCCTGGTAATAATATTTTTGGGTGGAAGGGTATGTGGAGGAGTCGAAGAGGTAGGAAAGCATAGAATAGTTAGCACCGCTTTACAGAACGTTAAGAATCTAAATTTATTTATTTCTTTTTTCCATTTATTTTTATTAGTTGGAGGCTAATTACTTTACATCATTACAGTAGTTTTTGTCATACAGTGAAATGAATTAGCCATGGATTTACATGTATTCCCCATCCCGGTCCCCCCTCCCACCTCCCTCTCCACCCGATCCCTCTGGGTCTTCCCAGTGCACCAGGCCCGAGCACTTGTCTCATGCACCCAACCTGGGCTGGTGATCTGTTTCACCCTAGATAATATACATGTTTCAATGCTGAAGAATCTAAATGAATACAATAATAGGTTCTCACAGCCTGCATTGACTTTGTTGGGTTAAAAATAATAATAAACAAACCCTTCCTGCTTTTTAGTGTTCTAAAACAATGTTTTCCAGAATTTGACTCTAAATAAGATTATAAATTAATCAATATGACTATCTAAAAAGCTGATAATAGGACCTTGTTTTGATATGAAACTCTTTTATAAGAAGAAAGTATTTAAAATTGGCACTGTGTGGTAGGACTATTTACTGTAAGAGAGAAGAGACAAAGTAAGAAATTTTCAGAAAACTTACTAAGATACTGTGAATTGCACAAATCATAACTTTAATAATCTCCAGTGCAGGAAAATTCATTCATTTATTATTGTTTCTCTAAAAAACCTATTATGTTAGCAGACTCTACCCAATCCTCAAGGGCTTCCCTGGACCTGGCGGGCTACAGTCCATGGGGACGCAGAGTGTCCACGCACAGAGTGGCTAAGCACAGCACAGCACCCAGTCCTCAAAGCACAGCTAAAGTATTGCCTACTCTGAGGCAGGCATTGATGTTACTTCCATTTCTCAGACAGAGGCGATCCTGCCCTCCATTTTTGCATACATATACCTGGGAGTTAGCTGTATACAGCATTTATTATCAACAATCATCATTTTTTGGTTTCTCTTTTATTGGAATGGAGCTTACAGAAGATCTCTTACTTAACTTACAAACCCCACTCAGTCAAGAAATGTTTGTAGAATATGTTTTAGTTGCTAGTCTTCATAGGGTCTTGTGTGGAGTTTCTAAGATAGAGCTGGATATAACAAAACTGAAATATTTCTTTCGTTGCTCTGGGGTATCCTTACTGTTCCTAGTAATTGTAGAGCTGCTATTTTAGGGTTTAGTATTATTCAGATGTGCTGTTGCTTATAGAACCATACTATCTAGGTCTGGATGAAAAACTACAGAGCTCTGTACTCTGGATCTCACTTTGCCTTGGTCACTTTGCTCACTTTTTCTCGTGCATATTCACTGTCTTATTGTCTTAATATAGATTTCTGGGAACAGGGTTTTTTTAAATCAAGTTTTAGAAGAACTGGAAAATAGTACTATATTGATTTGTTTTCTTGTTATTTAGGAAGCATTGCTTCATTACTCTGTCCCAGTGCAGATGGGCACTTGGTAGATTCCATCTTGGACAGTTATTCCGTTCACATTTTTGTTTGTACTTATTTCTAGGTACCCTTAGCTCAAGATAATACTGAGATGCTTGTTTTAGAAATCTTTACAGCTCAATTTATTTTGTAATTATTTTATGTCGACAGGTTACAATGCAGAGTAGATTTTCATGCCTTATCACCTATGTCTTTCCACTATGTCTATTCATTTATTCCCCTCATTGGTTAATTGAATCAAATTCATTCAGTCATTCATATAACATTTTATTGAAAGTCAATCATGGGCCAGGCAGTATAGCAGGCACTGGGGCTAGAGAGGCAAAAAGCTTTGTCCCTGCAGTCAGGCAAGGAGCTCATTCATTAGTGCTGAGGTGGAGGTAAGCACCTCTGGAACAGACAAGATTTCCAGCATGTTCTCAGAACTGACTCTCAGTATGTATAAAGAAAATTGTCAGCCTTAAAAATCCCAGACTCAAGCATTTTCAAGGAATAAATTTTAACTCCTTATAAAACAACACAGGAAGATGTTAACTTAGAACCACTTATTTCTTGACAATTTTGGACAGACACTATTTTGTTATTCTCACTGTTCATTTAAGGTGTTCCAGATAGCTTTTAAATGTTCATTTAAGGTGTTTTAGTCAGTTTGAAGTTATATTATTACCATATGAATTTTATGGTGAAGAAAAACAAATTGTAACATTTCTTTCGAATTTTAATGTAGAAATTGGATAAGCAAAAGAAATGGTTAGATGAAGAAGTAGAGAAAGTTCTGAACCAACGCCAAGAATTAGAGGAGCTGGAAGAAGACTTAAAGAAACGGGAGGCCATAGTTTCAAAGAAGGAGGCCCTGTTACAGGAGAAGAGCCAGCTGGAAAGTAAGAAGTTTCGATCTAGTCAGGTATTCTGTTTAATATGCTCTTTGATTCTGGTTGTAAGCCATATAAATTGAGATTTATTTTTTTTATAAAGTAAATCAAACCACTGTGAAGTTAGAAACCAAAAGAAAACTCTTCTGGTTTTCAGTGTATTTGGCTTATTAGTGCTTATTTAATGACCATCATGAAAATCTATTTCAGTTTTGAAGTAAAATGTTCAGTGTTCTACCAAGTATGAGTTATCTGTTATTAACTTTTGGTGGTATTTAAAAAATTGTAGTGTGTTATACATAACATAAAATTTACCATTTTGACCATTTTAAAGTGTAGAATTCAGCAGCATTAATTATATTCAGTGTTGTACAACCATCACTGTTATCTATTTCCAAACTTTTTATTATCCCAAACAGAAACTATGTAACCATTTAGAATAACATGCTTGCCATTTCCTATGGAAGCCTCTATTATTAGCCTTAGTGGATATTTTAAAAACTAATCTGTACCATTAGAGAGTGAACATTGGGTGAGCGTTGGGTGAACATTGGTAACTTTGGGTGAGCGTTGCGTGAACATTGGTAATCTGGAAGAATAGACTTGAAAATGATCTAACTATACTACTACTCAGGATTCCCATAAAAGAAAAAAGACTTTGTATAATACAGATTTGCTTATTTTTCTACTTATAAAGACTTGAGTATCTTTACAAAAATTTTTGTTGTAGGACTTGGGTTTTATGAGCCATTCATATAAGTGGTTTTATGAAGGACTTTGCCTCAGTTTCACGTTTTGAAAAATGACTGTTTTTATAAGGACCAGGAGAAGATTTTTTGATAATAGCAGTAGCAACAATAGCATCTGAAAATAAAGCTGACTTGCCCTAGACTTTAAGAAAACTTTCTCTACAAAGAGAAAGACAAATCCCATATGATATCACTTGTATGTGGAATCTAAAATATGGCACAAATGAACCTATTTACGAAACAGAAAGAGACTCATGGACTTGTGTTTGCCAAGGGAAAGTGGGAGAGGGAGAGGGATGGACTGAGGGGTGGGGTTGGTAGATCCCAGCTGTTACATTAGAATGGATAAACAACAAGATCCTAATGTATAGCCCAGGGAACTATATTCTGTGATACACCATTATGGAATATATAAAAAATAATGTATATATGTGTACAACTGAGTCACTTTGCTCTGCAGCAGAGATTGGCACAACATTGTAAATCAATTTTACTTCAATTTTTAGAAATTGTAAGAAAAGACTTTCTGCACAAACCTTTGCCTCCAGCTGACCTTGAGTCTGGAGTCAGTCATGGAATCATGGAATAAGCTCTGCCTCTTAAAACCTGCCTTTCATCCAGCATAGCTGTACTACTAGGTCTGGGGTGATGGTGACATGTTCTTAACTTCTCCACCTTAGTGTAACATGTGAACAAGATCTACACTTACTTCTGCCTTCTGTTTCCCAGACATGTTGAGATAGCTTTTGGCAGCAGGCTGTTGGACACTGGGGTAGGGGCAGCCCTTCTAACCAGCCTAGTTGCTGGTGCTCCATCCAGGTCACTTGTCCACACTGGCTGTCAGCGTCAGGTTTTAGAAGCTCCCCACCTCCCCGCAAAAAAGAAACATATAATGACAGCAAAGAGGATTTACAAATCAATGTATCAAGTGAATAAATAGAAGAAAATACCTGGGACCTTTATGATACGTTCTGTATCAGAAAAGAAAAAAAGAGAAAAAGAAAGGAGTAAGAAGGAAACTCTTATTCCTGAAATACATTTACTTTATGATCCTGGAAAAACAAAGAAAAGAAAATAGGTGTTTTCTAGTTTCAACAAGATGTAATATTTAGGAAGTAAGAACATACTGAGGTAAGCATAGAGTGCAAATAAATGAAACCCACAGTAGATCTTGGCAAAATTGATTCTTTGAAGATAGTTTTAATTAAACAGAAGAGAAACTTGAGACATTTCAGGGTTCTTTTTGAACAAAAGATATTACAAAGGATAAGGCACATTACGTATTTTTTTTGGTATTTGAGAAATACTATAAGATGTGATCATATGCATTTCAGACAAGAAACACAGTATAAAAAAGCCTATATTCAGGGCTTCCCTGGTGGCTCATTGGTAAAGACTTCACCTGCCAATGCAGTAGACACAGGTTCAATCCCCGGTCCAGGAAGATCTTACATGCAGTGGAGCAACTAAGCCTGTGTGCCACAACTACTGAACCTGCACCCCATAGCCCATGAACTTCGACTTCTGCAGCCCACGTGCTAAAGCCCGTGCTCCACAACAAGAGAAGCCACTGCAATGAGAAACTCACTCCACAACTAGAGTGGCCACTCTCACCACAACTAGAGGAAAGCCCATTCAGCAACAAAGACCCAGCACAGCCCAAAGTAAATTAAAAAAAAAAGGATTTATCTTAAAAAGTCTATATTCATACCATATACAAATAAAATGAATCAAAGACCTAAATGTAAGTGCTGAAACTATAAACGTCTTAGAAAGAAACATAAGTATAGCTTTTTGTGACCTTAGGTGAAGCAGTAGTTTATTGAATGTTATACCTTAAACACAAACAACAGAAAAAATTAGATAAATTGGACTTCATCAATATTAAAAGCATTTGTAATGTAAAGAACACCATCCAGAAAGTGAAAAGATAACCCATAGAATGGGAGGTGTTTGTACATCATTAAGTCTGTATTTAGAACAGATACAGAACTCTTTAACAGCTCAGTAATGAAAAGGCAACCCAGTTTAAAAACAGGCAAAGGATTCAGATAGAAATTTCTCCAAAGATTTGTGAATGGCCAAGAAGCACGTGAAAAGATGCTCAACATCTTAGCCATCTTGTAAATGCAAATCAAAATTTAAATGAGATACTGCTTCATACCCACTAGGATGACTATAATCAGAAAAATAATTTTAGTGAGGATATGAAGGAATTGGAACTCTTACACATTGCTGGTAGGGTTGTAAAATGGTGCAGTTACTTGGGATAACATGTTGAACATAGAATTACCAAATGAACTAGCATCCACTCCTAGGTGTACATTCGAATCAAGTGAAGACATAAGTGCACACAAAAACTTGTACATGAATATTCATAACAGCATTATTCGTTAATAGTCAAAAAATGAAAGCAACCCAGTGTCCTTCAACTGATTATGTATGTATGAATGAAATGTGGTACACATTCATATAATGGACTATTATTCAACAGTAGAAAGGAATGAAGCTCTGATATGTGCTACAACATGGATGAATCCTGAAAACATGATGTTAAATGAAAGTTAAGTGAAAGAACTCAGTCATAGTAGACAATTCCATAGAGACAGAAACTAGAATACTGGTTACTTAGAACTGGATCAGGGCTTGGCGAGGAAATAGAATGAGTGCTAGTGAGCATAGGGTCTCTTCTGAGAGACTGATGAAAATGTTCTAAGATTGATTATGGTGATGGTTGCACAAGTTTGCAAATATACTTAAAACCATCGAATTATACACTTTAAATCAGTGTATATGAACTATATTTTAGTAAAGCTATTACTCAAAAAAACCTATAAACACATAAAGGGAAAAAACAGTAGGGGAGATAACAGAAGACAGAAGGTTACCAAAAAAATGTAAGGTGGAAAGCAGATAAGTGCTTACTGGCTTAGCAGAACAGAAAAAGCTGAAATCCAAGTGCCTAGAAGAGGGACACCAATGAGAGTCAAACCTTTATCCTTAGCTTTTTTAGTAACAGCTTCACAAGCTATAATTCACATAAACATGAAAAAAGAAAAACTCAGAAATGAAGGGACCATGAATTTTAGAAGGGAGGAGTGAGGCTTAAGAATGAAAACAGGGCATGGTCGGGAAACCATCCTTTTCTAATTCTGGACTAGATGATTTATTTTCTGAAGATTGAACCAAGTTCAGCAGAGGCCTGGGGTAAGTCAGAATAAACAGGGAATGAGTGAAAGTCTTAATCCTGAGACATCCATTTCCTAACCCCTTCATAGATCCCAAAATGCAGGCAGCCAGACTTATACTTCCCAGCAGAAGATTGGTAGATTTTTCTGAAACAGTCCCAGGGAAAAACACCCTACAAATTTACATTTGGGAGCCCCCAACTAAGTGTCCATGTTCCAGGTATATCCTCCTGTCATAAATCTTAACCCACCACAGTATCAGCATTTTAATACCTGACTCTTAAGTATGATGGAGATCTCAAGAATGCTACTAACATTAAAGATGGAGGCCAAAACAAAAGAAAGAAAAAAAAAAAAAAAAGAAGATGATCAGAGAAGTTAGAGATAGAACAAGGAGCTGAAAAAACTTAAAAAATCTTAATATCCTCAAGGTGGTAAAAGCTTATACTCCATCCATAAAACAAGAACTGCAGGCTATAAAAAACATGAAAGAACTTTTGGAAATTAAAAGCTTTGAAGGATAATGTTAAGAAACATTTCAGAAAGTAAATAAAAAATAAATAGAAAATAAGAGGAATAAAATTTAATTGACAAATAAACCCACAAAATCCATCATCCAAGTAACAGGAATTCCAAAAAGATGAAACAGGAGAAGAGGAGATTATCAGAGACATAATACAAAAAAAATTGCCAACACTGAAGATATGAAACTCTGGGTTGAATATTGAATAGTTTATCAAGGGCATAGCAGAGACCACTGAAAGTGTATTGTGTAAATCTTGAGTCAGAATGGCTTTGGAGTTCTCAGCAGTGTTCATTAGACCTGAAGCAGTCTTAAAACTCATAAGGAAAATGGTGTCCAAACAAAGAGTCTCTTTTTAGACTAATATAAATTAAATGGGAAGGTAGAATACAGACATTTTCAAGTGAAAAAGTTTATCTGTAACCCAGCCTGTCTCAGGAAACTACTAGAGGATGTGCTTCTTAAATATGAGGACACAAGCTATGCAAAAGAAAGACTTGGGACCCAGAAAATGTGCCCTGACTGGAAATTTTCAACAGTACCATAGGAAGTCTAGGAACAACTATAGTCTAGTTTGGAGCAGGAGGATGGAGACTCTAGACAAAATGTTTCCAGAAGAGAAGAGAATGAAAATATTCCCTGATTAAGTTTTGATCAACTGAAAAAATAATGTTGAGAGGAATTTTATAGTTCTATTGGAAAAGAATTAGTTATAAGGTAACCAGAAAAAAGTGTTCCAGATGGAAATGTGATCATTTTGTCCTAGATAGTTCAGTTATGAATAATATTCACGAAGTCATGTAAACTATTGATTTAAGTAAAAACTGTAATACAACTTAAGTTGGGAGAATACAAGGAGGGGGAAGTACAGACAAGGAGGCATAAGAGTACTAAGTCCTTATCTTCCATAATAGACAACCAGCAGAGAGTATCTAAAATTGGTAATGTTATTTAAAAACATGGACATAAACCAGAAGAAAAAGCTTGAAAGGTTAAAGATGGTCATTTCTAGGGAGCAGGAATCAGGGGAAAGGGTGGTGTAGGAGACTACTTTAAAAAAAAAATTATAAACCTTATGGTAGTATATACATGTAATTATTTTGATGAAATACCAAGACCAGGCACAGCCAAATAAATAATAAAAAAAAATTTTTTTAATCTCCACTTAAAAAAAAAAAGACATTCAACTTAAGACTTAGAAAATGAAGCTCCCAAAAAAATCCATGGGAGAAAATAATGTAAGAGCTAACAATATGTTCACATAGTAGTTTTCTCTCTGTTTTTTCCTTTTTATTTATAGTCTATATTTCTAATAACTGACCTCAGGGTGTCTGGTTGATTATCTTTTTAGGCTTTGAACACAGACAGTTTAAAAATATCAACTCGCCTGAGCTTGTTGGACCAAGAGTTGTCTGAAAAGAATGTGCAGCTCCAGAGCAGCACAGCTGAGGAGAAAATAAAGATTTCAGAACAAGTACAAGCCCTCCAGAGAGAAAAGGATGAGCTGCAGAGACAAAGAAACAGCGTGGATGAGAAACTTAAAAATGGTAGTGTGTTGTCACCTGAAGTAAGTCAGTATGCTTTGGAACTGGAAGTACTGTATGATGGATCACTTGGATGATTTCCTTCACCTTTGTTACCTAAACATAAAAATGATAAACCTAATCAACTTTGTTTCCTTGAGACTTTGTCAGATGTACTGAGTTTCCTTGGCGCCTGTCTGGTGCCATAAGCCTTGCTTGACTAGAGACTGTGATGTCCTCTCATGGAGGTACCTGAATGTGGCCCCTTCCTAGCATTGCCAGGGACAGGGAGACTCACACTTGCTTTGAGTATGGCCTTTCTCAGCTGAGGTTTTCACAGAACACAAAAAATGATTTGAGGGACTCTTTTTCTCATTTTTTCTAAAGAGGGCACCTTTTCTTATGCATCTTTCTTGGATGATACTTGGTAATTCATCATCTATAACAGAGGCCTAGAGCATTAAGGGTTAATTGTTTTAGAAAGTACAGGAGCATTGTTCCACACTAAGACCTAGCCAAGTAGATGTGCAAAATTCAACCACCAATAGAAATACCTTTTAAGGAGTTTTCATTTAGGGGAACATGTGGCTTCTCTTCATCATTTTTTTAACTGTGTAAAAGGTGTTGCATTTATTGGCTACCAAATTGTCCCAGACTGCATCTTTTTTCAAAATTTTATTTCAGTTGGCAGTGGTAACCATAACTTATTATTTTATCAGACAAAGATGAACTTTTGATCCTGGATTTTCTCTGCAAATATTTATGGTCAATGTCCAAAGTAAGGGAAAGTTACTAACAAAAAGTAAGTGGCTGGGAATCACACACCTTACTGTATGTTATAGTGTTTTAGATTTCAGCAAGTATGAGAAGTTGAAGGGGCTGGTTAAGAAGGAACAGGGGAGAGGATTTGAGGACATTATTGTTCATTGAGTTGATGAAAGAAATTGAAGACAAACTTGACTGGAGGCTATGTGACATCATGAGCTTCTACTGCCCTATTTTATAACTTAATTTGGGTAGCTTTGCCAAGGACCACAGAATGAGGTTTTCCCCTCAAGGCTGTCAAAGTCAGCCCCCAGCCCTGCAGATCTAAAGGTCTGAGAACCTAAAATTCAGCAAAACATTTGAGCATTTAAGGAATTCTTGAGTGCCCAGGAGTGTTCCTGGGCCCTATGGAAGAAACAAAAAAGTAGAAAACATGCTTCTCTTGAGGAAATCTACTCCACCTGAGAAGAGACAGAAAGATGAGAAAACTCTAAATCTTGATGAATATAAAAATCAAGTTACAGATAATGTAATAAAGCTATTTTGTTGTTGTTGTTTAGTTACTAAATCATGTCTGAGTCTTTTGCAACCCTGTGGCCTGTGGCCTGCCTGGCTTCTCTGTCCATGGAATTTCCCAGGCAAGAATACTGGAGTGCGTTGCCACTTCTCCAGGGGGTCTTCCTCACCCAGGGATCAAACCCACATCTCCTCATTGGCAGGCAGATTCTTTATCACTGAGCCACCAGGGAAACCTAATAAAGCTATACTTAATACATTATTTATCCAAAGCAATGCAGTGATCATTTGGTGGAAGATTGAATTAAGGAAGCATTGGTAAATCAGAATCTTGAGTTGGATTATGAAAAACATGGTATGTATTGATAGATATAAGAAAGAAAGTCATTTTAGATAGAACACCATTAAATAAGGCATAGAGATAGGAATGAGCAAATTATGTTTGCAGAGTGGTAGAGTGTCCATTTTTAATTATTTTTTAATACAATTTTTAAAGGTTATACTCCATTTACAGTTACTACAAAACATTGGCTATATTCCCTGTGTAGTATAATACATCCTTGTAGCCTATCTTACTCCCAATTGATAATACCTCCCCACTGCCCAACCCCTAGTATGTGCCCTGCCACTGGTAACCAGTCTTGTTCTCTGTATCTGTGAGTCTGCTTTTTTTGTTGTTATATTCACTAGTTTGTTGTAAGTTTTAGATTCTACATATAAGTGATATAGCATCTGTCTTTCACTGTCTGACTCACTTACTATAATGCCCTCCAGGTCCATCCTTGTTGCTGCTGCAAATGGCAAAATTTTGTTCTTTTTTGTGGCCAAGTAGTATTCCTTTGTGTTTATATACCACATCTTCTTTATCCATTCATCTGTTGATGGACACTTAGGTCGCTTCCATACCTTGGCAATTGTAAATAAAGCTGCTATGAACATTGAGGTGCATGTATCTTTTCAAATTAGTTTTTCTTCCCAGATATGTACCCAGGAGTAGAATTGCTGGGTCATATAGTAGTTCTTTTTTAGTGTTTTGAGAAATCTCCATACTGTTTTCTGCAGTGGCTGCACCAATTTACATTCCCACCAACCATGTATGAGAATTCACTTTTCTCCATATCCTCACCAACATTTGTTAATTTGTGTTCTTTTTGATGATGGCCATTCTGACAGGTGTGTATCACATTGTGGTTTTTTATTTGCATTTCCCTGATGATTAGCGATGTTGAGTATCTGTCTTCTCATATACCTGTTGGCCATCTGCATTTCTAGAGGGCCAGTTCTTATCTTCAAGAAACATTTGAGTTTCTGTTTTATGAGGAATTCTGTAACTAAAAACACTGTAATGTTTTGTGGTGAAAATACAGCACAGTGCATGATACTTATTTGGCAACCACCATGGATTGGTTTGAGGGAAGGGTAGAAGAATGGTAATTTCCATTAGACCCAAATAGCATAGTAAGATCTTAGAATATGACAAAGTCCAAGTTATACTATTTCATTTAAAATGAGTGATTTCTGTTGTATTATATCTAGGAAGAACATGTTCTTTTCCAACTTGAAGAAGGGATTGAAGCTTTGGAAGCCGCAATTGAATACAAGAACGAAAGTATCCAGAGTCGCCAGAACTTGCTCAGAGCTTCATTTCAAAACCTCTCTCATAGTGAAGCAAATGTCTTAGAAAAACTAATTTGCCTGAGTCCTGTTGAGATTAGAGCTGTTCTTTTCAGATATTTCAATAAGGTTTGTTTTTCAAGGACAGAGGGTTTTCTTATAAATAGGGATCAAGATGGTTATACAGCTCACATATATGTAGACTTTATAGTACTGAATGTTATCAAAAATCTTTGTGCTTATCCAAATATTGTAGGCCTAACTTAGTGAGCTTCTTAAAATTGAAGGGTTGCTTGAAAGGAGGACGCTTTTTGAAATAGTTTTAAAATCCAAAGAATTTAGTCCAAATATTCTTCAGGCAGTATTAGTTGGATGCTTTCTAGATTTGGTTGTTCCTACTTAGCATTCATGAAAAATCAAGGGACCCTCCAGGTTTGGGTTCCCTTTCCTTCATTGCTGGGTAGGGGTACCTATACTTTCTCATCATACTCTATGAACTGAAATAGAGATGAAATGGTACATCAGTGACAAAGATAGTGATCTATTTTAGCATTAACCTGGATGTGCTTAATATAAATTAAGATATTTTATACAGATTTGACAGTTTACTGATAGAGATGTTTCATAACATTGAAAATTATATCCGTCTTTTCTCCAATGCCTCCTGTTAAGATATATATTATGAAATGTTAAACAAGTAGATTACCTTTTTTCTCTGAAAAATACATTCAGTTTAAGATAGTAGACAATTAATGAAAAATAAAACACTGAAGTTTTAAAATAAAGTTCTAATTCTGTGAGACAAGTGAAATAAAGATGAACAAATCAATGGAAGTGTAATACACAGCCCTCCTCTTAGATAATGGCTGTCAGGAATACGCTTCTATCATTGATGCAAGTGCATCCCATCACTGGGTGTTTGGAGGGCAGAAATAATGGTGCATATTGTCTGAGGCTTTGATACAGATAACTCTTTTGTGGTAGTATTAGTGCAAGGACCAAGGTCAGTGGATTTTTCTGATCTTAAGACCCATTTGTAGAAATTATTATTTTTCTAGAGAGAAGGTCTTTACATTATTAACAAGTACTATGACACAGATATTGTCTGAAGTGTTTTTACTTTATATCAGTGCAGAGAGGAACCCATTGGACTACAAGTACAGTGTCAGGCCAAACTCTGTTTATAGCTGAAAAAATTCTGTCACTTACTTATAACATCCACTTTGGAGTTAAAAATGAGAATTATCTAGATGTTACAAGAGTCTTTAGAATTCTTGATTTTTTTTAGACTGGGAAAATAGTTATAGGATTACAAATGTAAACTACAAAGATTATGTCTAAGAAATGATGGAGGGATGATGGTCAGACCAACATTATATTTAAAATGAAGTTGTTACCAATTCAGAATCCCAACAAATTAAAAAGGCTGTTAAGTTATTTTGTGGGTTTGTTACAAAGCATTTGCATAGTTACACCATGGTGATTAAGGGCCTTCATCTTTATGAAGTCTAAGGAAAAGTAAATTAATGTTATATTAGGCTGTCTAAGACAGTTAAAAGGTCAAAAAATGTCTTTGCTAGGTGGTTAATTTGCGAGAAGTTGAACGGAAACTAAAGTTACAGAATGAAGAAATTAAAATGAAAGTTCTGGAACGGGATAATGTGGTTCGTGAGTTGGAATCTGCACTGGAACATCTGAAATTTCAGTGTGACCGGAGACTGATCCTCCAGCAAAAGGAACATGAGCAAAAAATGCAGCTGCTGTTACATCATTTCAAAGGTAACTGCCCCTTCTCATCAGCTGTGTAAAGATGATGTAGAGGAGGGAGATCGGGAAAGGAATTGGGTCAGTTAAAACCTAACACACATAAATAATTACTACTAAGACGTGTTTTGTGCTTTGTGTGATTGGCCCACATGCTGGGATAGCCCTGTGGATGTAAGGCACCTCATGCCTGAAGTGCCGTCTCCTCTGCCTGTCCCCAGCGACACAGAGAACTGCTGCAATCCTGTTAGTTATTGTTCTGGTTACTGTGTAGGAATGTGGGATGACATCTGGCTTGGTGGTATAGAGCTGAAAAGTTCCCCATTTCTAGAATATAGAACCTTGATATTTAAATCACTTTACCTTTATAAAATTAAAGTGATAGGTTCTGTAAGGTTTCTGGTTATAGTTCTCCTTTTAGTTATATCAGTTGTAAATTTTATGCATTAAAGATTATAGCTTAGGTCAAAATTAGTCTACCATTGACAGGCACATACTGTTTCTTAGCACACAGTAGTTTAGTTCAACTGTCAGCTGTGGTGTGGAAAGGCTTGTCATAGCAGTTGGTCTTCACAATACCTGGGCTTATGACTGGTACACAAACAGTTCCTATGGCAACAAAATCACTGCGAGGCGGTACATCAATACATGGAATGCTTCAGTTCAGGCAGCTTAGCTGTTGAGTCTTCATTCTCATGAATCTAGAGCTGGAAATGTGGTAAAAGGGATCTGGAAGAAGCAACCCAAGTAAGCAGAAAATTGGAAAATATATGCATTGGAGTGTTGAGGCAGTCTGCCTGTAAGTTAAATTTTATAACCAATTAATTAGCAACTAGTTGCCTGATGATAGGACTTCCTTGACTGGATTCTATATGTTATTTCATTCAAACATGTTCTCTCTACATCATGTTATTCTGTCTTACGTCTCTAAAAGTGATATTTTAATAGAATTTTTAATATGTTTTTTCAAGTGATTGGCATTTTACAAAAAAGCTCATGCTTTAGCCAAGTGAGAACATTTTTTAAATCATTCATTACTATATCTGGGACAAGTTTTCATAACCAGGTTGTAACTGAAAATATTTATGTAGGAAACATTCTGTGCAAAATTCTTAAAGAGATAGGAATACCAGGCCACCTTACCTGTCTCCTGAGAAACCTGTATGCAGGTCAAGAAGCAACAGTTAGAAGTGGACATGGAACAACAGACTGGTTCAAATTGGGAAAGGAGTACGTCAAGGCTGTATATTGTCACCCTGCTTATTTAACTTATATGCAAAGTACATCATGCAAAATGCTGGGTTGGATGAAGCACAAGCTGGAATCAAGATTGCTGGGAGAAATATCAACAACCTCAGATATGCAGATGATACCACCCTTATGGCAGAAAGTGAAGAGGAACTAAAGAGCCTCTTGATGAGGGTGAAAGAAGAGAGTGAAATAGCTGGCTTAAAATGCAACATTCTAAAATTAAGATCATGGCATCTAGTCCATCACATCATGGCATATAGGTGGGGAAACAATGGAAACAGTGACAGACTTTATTTTCTTGGGCTGCAAAATCACTATGGATGGTGACTGCAGCCATGAAATTAAAAGACGCTTGCTCCTTGGAAGATAAGCCATGACAAACCTAAACAGCATATTGAAAAGCGGAGATAATCACTTTGCCGACAAAGGGGTGGGTCCGTATAGTCAAAGCTATGATTTTTCCACTAGTCACGTATAGATGTGTGAGTTGGACCATAAAGAAAGCTGAGTGCCAAAGAATTGATGCTTTTGAATTGTGGTGCTGGCGAAGATTCTCAAGAGTCCCTTGGACAGCAAGGAGATCAATCCAAAACAAGTCAACCCTGAATATTCATTTTAAGAAATGATGCTGAAGCTGAAGCTCCAATACTTGGGCCACCTGATGCAGAGCTGACTCACTGGAAAAGACCCTGACACTGGGAAAGATTGAAGGCAGAAAAAGAAGAGGGTGACAGAGGATGAGATGGTTTGATGGCATCACTGATTTAAAGGATATAACTCTAGGAGATAGCAAAGGGCAGGAAGCCTGCATGCTACAGTTCATAGTGTCGCAAAGAGTCGGACACAACCGAGCGACTGAGCACAGGACCATTTTATGGATTTACCAGTAGAAGAGAGTAGGTCTGAAAGTGTGTATTTCTGGAGATCAATGAACTGAATTTTACTGGTTGTAGAACATGATTTAAAGGGGACAGTTGTAAACATTCCTAAATATTTAGAAGTTTTAAGTTATATTGTGGCATGAACTAGAGGTTTACTTATGGCTTTTTCCCCTCTCCTCTTTTTCTGGTGGTTTTTCCTTTGTAATTTAATCTTTCAGCCTCTTCTGACAGGTTTCTGCTTTTTCTGGTTGTATATTTTCTTTTTTTTTTTTTTTTTTCACAATTTTATTTTTTTTTTTTTTTTTTTTCAATTTTCTTGGCCATGCCAGAAGGCATGTGGGATCTCAGTTCCCTGACCAGGAATGGAACCCACGCCCCTTGCATTGGAAGCACAGAGTCTTAACTACTGGGAAGATCTTAGCTGTATGTTTCTTTCTTTCTTTCTTTCTTTGTCTTTTTTTTTCTTAAAGCATTGCATTTATTTGTAAAATTAATCTATTTATTTATTTTTGGTTGCACTGGGTTTTTGTTGCTGCACAGGCTTTCTCTCTAGTTGTGGAGATTAGGGGCTACTCTTCCTGGCGACGTGGCGGGCTTCCCATCACGATGGCTTCTATTGTGGAGCACAGGCTCCAGGCGCAGGGGCTTCAGTAGTTGCAGCACACCGGCTCAGTAGTGGCAGCTGACAGGCTCGAGAGCACGTGCTCAGAGGTTGTGGCGCATGGTGTTAGTTGCTCCTCGGCATGTGGAATCTTCCTGGACCAAAGATTGAACCCATGTTCCCTGCATTGGCAGGTGCATTCTCAGCTACTGTGCTACCAGGGAAGTTCCAGTCATCTATTTCTTGGGCGAATAAACCTTAGGCTTATGACTTTTACATATCCACAGTTCCTGATATAAACTTTAAGACACTGATGCAGCTGGACAGAGTTCCAAATGTAGACCTTACTTCTGATGTTCTGAGGATAAATTTAGTTAGTAACTACTCAAAAAGTGCTTATGAATCATGAAAAATACATAGTTTTAAGGGTTAGGATGGAGAAGGGCTCATCCTACTTTGAAAACATTTTATAGGCAGAAGAATCCAAATTGTAGCTGAAAACAAATCCATTCAAGGAACAGATACATGTAACATACTTCTCATCCTTTAAATAGAGTCTGGGAGCTCTGTTAGGATTTTAAGTCATTTATCTTAAACTGATTTTAACTAAATTTCTGTTTTATAGAGCGAGATGAGGAAGGCATTGCGGAAACTTTAAAAAATTATGAAGATAAAATCCAGCAGCTGGAGAGAGATCTTTATTTCTATAAGAAAACCAGCAGAGATCTGAAGAAGAAACTCAAGGAACTGGTAGGGGAAGCAATTCGGCGGCAACTAGTACCATCAGAAAGTAAGAGATTTAGCATTACTTGTTGTGCCAACACCATAGCACGGTTTGCCATGGAACCTCTCCCAACTGATTGGATTATTTAGAATTCTGTCTCTGTAACAAAAATAGTTGTCTAGTCTATGTGTAAGACAGAACCACTGGATAAAAGAATAAAAGAACAAATGTATATGTGTGTAGGAAATGATCATTTATTGGATTGTCTACAATGTACCAGGGGTTCCTATATTTTCTAACTCACTAAAATTCTTAAAATAACCCTAAATATAGGATAGCTGTTGTTTTCCTGTTTTATAGGAAATGAAGCCTTATGATTATCATAAGAAAGTACAATAAATAGAGAGTAATAAAAGTAAAGGTAAAAAATAATATCATATGTATTTCTAAGATCAGTCAGGTTTTTCCATATTATGACCTCTGGAAATTAAAAAATGTAATAAAACCATTGTTGAGACTAGGATGATTTCTTGCATAATTATATGTAGATATGTAGAAATACCACCTTCCTCAATGAAATGATAAAACATGACAAAGAACTTTGCAAAAGCAAAAACTGCCATGAAGGTGATATATCTATGATTAAAGCATATTGTCTTTAAGCCCACCAGTGGAGAGCAACCAATATCTCTAAAATAATATATTCTCTTTTTATAAAAGAATTAGCCTTCCTTTAGAGAAAGTATTCTTCTAATAAGTTAAGAATGGTTTTAGAAAGTTGACTTTATAGTCTTTCTTAGGAACACAGCTATTTTGCACCTGTAAAGAAAACTATTGGGTTGGTCAAAAAATTCGTTCAGATTTTTCTGTACCAGCTTATGAAAAAACCCGAATGAACTTTTGCCCAACCCAGTACTTAAAGATGATTACAAGAGGTAAAGAGTACACCTGAAACTAATATAATGTTATATATCAACTATATTTCAACTTAAAAAGATAATTATAAAAACTGAAACAATAAAAAATAGAGTCCAGTAGAGAATGATATCTATGTACAATGAAAAGATGTGTGCTGAATATATAATGTAAGTAGAATTAACATAGTTTTAAATCTTAAAACTCAGTAATATTTTTTCTGTTGCTGCTGTTTTGTTTCTTTAATTAATTTATTTATTTTAATTGAAGACTAATTACTTTACAATATTGTAGTGGTTTTTGCCATACATTGAACATGAATCAGCCATGGGTATACATGTGTTCCCCATCCTGAACCCGCCTCCCACCTCCCTCCCCATCCCATCCGTCAGGGTCATCCCAGTGCACCAGCCCTGAGCACCCTGTCTCATGCATCCAACCTGGGCTGGAGATCTGTTTCACATATGATAATATACATGGTTTCAGTGCTGTTCTCTCATATCATCCCACCCTCGCCTTCTCCCACAGAGTCTAAAAGTCTGTTCTTTACATCTGTGTCTCTTTTGGTGTCTCGCCTATAGGGTCATCATTTGTTATATGTATCATTTATAGGCATTTTCCCAAGCAGTTCTATTTAGTCCTAAACTTCAGTAAGCCGGTATATGCTAACCCCATTTTTAGATGTGGGAATTAAAGCTTAGCGTAGCCCAGTGACTCCAAAACAGACCAGTAAATAGAACATGGTCTAAGGTCCCTGGTCTTCTAACTCCTGGTTCTGTGTTCTAGTAAAAAGTCATTTTAGGATAGAACTGTGATACAAACATACCAATTCTGCCAAAGGGACCAACCTTTCTGATTTCAGTGTAGTAATACAGAATGATTTACTCATATAACTAAAACATTTACTTGAAATTCTGCCTGTGACATGTAGCTGAACCTTTTACTTGAAATGCTATCTGCAAAAAATTAAAATGTAAACAGGTATTAAGTAGGAAACAAAGCAATTAGCGTAAAGCCATTTTTGCTTAAAAATACACTTCAGATTTGAGATATGTGAAATTAGCTGTTTACTGTTTAAATGGCCCGTTTTATACTCCTGAGTTCACTAGACATCTCTTAAAATGACAGTGTGATATAAACAGGCTTAAAAAACCTAGATTCTCATCATGCTCTTTAATGAAACAAACACAAAAAGCTAAAAAAAAGTTAAATAATCTTGGAGATGTGTAAAGTAAGGATAACTCCTATCTTACCAGCTTACTGGGAAGTCTAGTCTCTTTTTTTGACCACACCTTGTAACTTGCAGGATCCTAGTTCCCTGACCAGGATCAATCCCAGGCCCCTGGCATTGGAAACTCAAAGTCCTAACCACTGGACTACCAGGGAATTCCTGGAGGTAGACGTCTTAATGATGTTGAGGATGTTATCTCAGCTAATTTGCTATTTCCCCTAGAACCATCTTAAATATCTTTATTTTGTAGCTATAAAAAGTAATATATAGTCATTATAGAAAACTTTGAAAATATAGAAAAAAATCAGAAAAATTCACCCATAATCCTACCCACAACTATTAATATTTCAGCATAATTCTTTCAGTGATCTCCTTATGCTTTAAAAAAAATAAATTCATTTGGATTTATATTGGTGAAATACCTTGTACTATATCCTATTTCAAAATGCTGCTCTAATATAATGGAACCCTTTTTCACATTCCAACATGCCAGAGGCTGTTCACCTTGGAGACCTGCTGCAGATATGGGTACAGCCTGGTGCGAGATTTTAAAAATGAGACAGTTCGTTATAAAATATAGCTGTTTATATAGATCAAATTTTGAGTTCCCTAAGCTGTAGAGATTTNTAAAAAACCTAGATTCTCATCATGCTCTTTAATGAAACAAACACAAAAAGCTAAAAAAAAGTTAAATAATCTTGGAGATGTGTAAAGTAAGGATAACTCCTATCTTACCAGCTTACTGGGAAGTCTAGTCTCTTTTTTTGACCACACCTTGTAACTTGCAGGATCCTAGTTCCCTGACCAGGATCAATCAATGCAGGAAAAAAAAAAAATAAAAAGAAATGGTAAGACAACAACAACAACAACAAAAAAACTATCCTTATATCAATTAATTTATTTAAATGTCACCCATTAATTAAATCTAGTAGGCTTAGCTGTGAGTGATGGAAGACCTAAAGCTGAATGGAACTCAGGTCCTTGCCAGGGAGCTGATAGTCTCATGGTGGGTTCAGTTGTAAACCAGAGCAGAGCCAGTCAATGATCAACCAGAGGTTAAAGTCTAAGGACCACGTCTTCCTCAGTGGGCCTGAGGTGGGCTTTGTGGAAGAGATGGCCACCCTGGTGCAACTGATACTGACAGAGTATCCTCATATCAATTTAAATCACTTATAACACTCTATGTGTTAGGATATTAGAGTCAGAAGATCTAGTTGGGATCCTAATTTCTTTTACTGCCTGTGTAATTATGGATGAGTTAAATCTTTGTTTAGTCTGTTCCATTAGTGGTGAAATTCTGGAAGAGGGAAACTGTATTGTAAGCTTAGGAGTGAAACTTTCCAATGAGCCCATCTCTGCCCTTTCTTTTATGATCTTTAAAAACTAAGATGCCTGGCTTCTTCCCCCAGACACTATGACCTGGACATCAGGATTTTTTTTTCACTGAAATAGAGTTGATTTACAATATTGTGTTAGTTTCAGGGGTACAGTAAAGTGATCCAGATACACACACACATGCTTCCCTGATAGCTCAGTTGGTAAAGAATCCATCTGCAATGCAGGAGACCCCAGTTCGATAGCTGGGTCAGGACCATCTGCTGAAGGGATAGGCTACCCACTCCAGTATTCTGGCCTGGAGAATTCCATGGACTATATAGTCCATGGGGTCGCAAAGAGTCGGACACAACTGAGTGACTTTCACTTATCACTTATATACACATACACTCTTTTTCAGATTCCTTCCCATTATAGGTTATTACGCATCAGGACTTTTAAAAGTTTCCAGGTGACACTAATGTGCAGCAAATTTTGGAAGCCACTGTGATTAACTTTGTACCTGCTAATTCCATTCGAGGATCTATGTCATTTGCCAGTTCAGGTTTTTTGTTTTTGAGAATTTTAAAAACTAGAAAATCAATCCTTTTTTTTTTTATTGAGGTAGAGTTGATGTATGATGTTATGTAAGTTTCAGGTATACAACAGTTATTCACAATTTTTAAAGGTTATATCGAAAATCAATTATGTTTTAAACCAGGTTCACAAACTAAAATGGCTGCAGGAGCCAGGAAGCCAGAGTGAGCAGTGGGGCTGCAACAGCCATCCACACTGGCAGTCTGCTGCTCTGGCTGCTGTTCCAGGCAGAAATTGTCAGTTTCTCTCCTTTTTCTATAAAATCTGGAAATCTATATTTTTATGTGAAACTTTCCTCTTTTTAAGTTTTGCATCACATATTATTTCATAGGCTAAGTAAAACAAATCTGTGGGCCAGATTTGGCTTTGGAGCTGCCAGTGTGCACCTTCTGTTTTTAAACTCGATACACACAGGACCAGAAGTGTACTAATTGCATCATTAACATATTTAAAGTTTGTAGTTTTCTTTGCTTTAGGTCTAGTACCTATATGGACTTTAAGTTTTGTCTTTGATATTAGATGATTCTATGATTTGACAGCCTCAAGCTTTGATACCTTCACTCACTCCTATCACTCATTCCAGCGAGATGGTCCCCTCTGAGGGGTATGCTGTCATTTCCATTTTGATGGTTGGGAGCTGAGGTATGTACCCCAGAGTACGCTCAGATGGAAGAACCCTGCTGTCTTGTTTGGAGTCCCAACCAAGACTAGATTTTCGCATATATATGCCAAGTCAGAAGATTCCCTGGAAATATGACCAGGATTTGGGATGTAATTCACCAGTGGCAAGCCCAGCAGAGGCAGGTGTGGAAGGGCTCTACAGAGGCCGAAAGCACTCCTATGTTTCTATGGGTGCCAAAATCTCTAGAAAACTCTTTCAATTTTGTTCCATTAATAAATAATTCTGAGTTGTTTGTATGCAAATGCCTCTAAGTGAAATAATTTATTTTTACACTTAAGTCACTTAACAACACAAGCTGGAAGGCATAATTTATATTGCATGATACTATGATTAAAATACCTGTTTTTAAGGAAACCTCTAATTATTTTTCTGCTTTTTTGATTACTTTTAGATCATGATGTTGGAGATGGAGTTCAGAACCCAGAAAAAGCTGGCATGGTTTCAGAAGAATTAAAATGGGCATCCAGAACTGAAAGTATGAAATTAAGTGGAAGGGAAAGACAATTAGACAGTTCCACAAGCAGTTTAAGAACACAACCAAATCCTCAGAAGCTCTGGGAAGATGGCCCAGAATTACCTCCAATGTATAACTCTGTAGCACCCACTAGTGGGCATTTGTTAAGCAATGAGGACAAAACCGAAATAGATGAAAATCAGTTTACAAAATCTAACAGTCGACCATCATCCCAAATTCAGCCAGTCAGAAATGTGGGACAGCTGCATGGTGTCACACCTGTCAAGTTGTGTCGCAAAGAGTTACGCCAAATTTCTGCCTTGGAACTATCATTACGACGTTCCAATCTTGGAGTTGGGGTTGGATCTATGACTGCTGATTCGCTTGAAGTAGCTAGGAAAGCAAGTGACTTAAAAATTTAGGCATTTAATAAGAAAAACTTTAATTTAGCAGATGTGTAAGATTCCTTTTTCTAACCTGTTAAAAATTTAAGTTCACTAGCTCTTCCCTCAGGATAAAGAAGAAGGGGAGGAAGCAATCCTTTTGTATACTGTGAATGTGTGTTTTCTTCCAAGATTTTTTGCTCTAAATATTATATAATATAAACTTCAGTTTGGAATTAAGAACTAAATACTGATTTGCCCAACAAATACAGTTTGTACATTTTCATATTTTTCAATCACAGAAAATATCCCATTTTACTATTTTGTTACTTGTTATTTTTGTTACTTTTCCAACCTTTCACTTGTAAAATAAAGTTTTTTCTTAAACTAATTAATGTTTGAGTGGAACAGCAGCAAAACCTCCCTGATTTATGGAAGTGTACTCCGTTAGAGTAACCCACTTTCTTACTGACTCCAATTTTTCTTATCTGATGCTGCTAATTTTTTCTTTTCTTTCCTCTCTTGCTGTCGACCCTGACCATCTTACCTGGCACGCAAACTGTTGCCCTGTGCTCAAAGACTTCTAATTTCTAGCCTCTAGGGAGTAGGATTCCTTGGTCTCACTGGTAAAAACCAGTTCCTGTAGGAGAAGAAAATCAAACCAAAACGAACTTCTAAATTGGTAAATAGTTTTTATGTCTCTAAAGTGTGGTATTAAAAATAATTTAAATTATGGATTAAATAGACTTCTGTGGACTTACCTGGGAATGGAACCATAATATATAATGCCAGCCAATTAGAAACTGCTTCATCCAGCAAATTTACAAACGAAGTTAGAAATTTTATTTGTAACAGGGACTATTTGAAGCCAGACTGGTTTTAAGCCAGTTGTTTTTTATTTTTATTTTTTGTCTTTGGTTTGTATGATATATACTTGATATATACCATATATAATGTGTGATATGTGTGTATTGTTGTTTTGCTAAATCATGTCCAACTCTTTTGTGACCCCATGGACTGTAGCCTACCAGGTTCCTTTGTCCATGAGATTACCAGGCAAGAATACTGGAGGGGTTGCCATTTCCTTCTCCAGGGGATCTTCCCGACCCAGGGACTGAACCCACATCTCCTGCATTGGCAGGCAGAATCTTTACCACTGAGCCACAGGGAAGCCTGATATGTGTATAAAATGGCACAAGGCCAGTATCTTAAAAAAGCATATCAATCATATATTTAATAATAAGTACAGGTTTATTAATGAAGGTCCTAATTTTAAATTCCTTATAAGATTAAGTAATATTTAGAAATAATTCATATAAAAATGTATTTTGACTTTGGAATTCTGCTGCCTGCCCAAGAAATTGACACATACTTGTTTTACCTGTGGAAATATAAATGCATTTTCTAAAAACCAGCTCTCTTAACAAAGCAATAAAATTTATATTAAACCAACAATGAGTAGATTTAATAATACAAATGTGAACTGACTTCTAAATAACAAATATACAATTTTTCCCCTTTTTGGTTAAACATATATCCTTTATATGCTACGATGGATTTCATGTGCATACTCAAACACACATATGTTAAGAATGTCCTGAATAATATATTCTAGGAATGAAACTTTTGTTTTTCTTTTTAGTCATTGCACTCACAAAGGAAAAAAAGAAAAATTTTAAGGCACATCCCCAAAAGCAAGTGCAATTTTTCTTACCTATACCACTAATAAATTTTATTCTTATTTCACATGCTGTCCTTAAGTCTGAATATTTTGTCATTGTGTTTGCCTTTTTGCATGTGTATGGAATATGTGGGGGGTTTTTTGTTCATTATATTTTTTCCACCTATAACAGCGTTTGGAAAGAAACATATTTACCTCCATAAACTACTACTTCCTTCCCTAACTCCAGAGTGTTCTAGATAACAGAGTTGGAGAACTCTGTGAATATGGGAAACATGAGTAGCAAGAACATCAGTGAAGGTGCTTTTGTGCTTTAATATTTGTTTTCTTTTGCTAATGTTTTTTTTTCCCCCTCAGTTCTTCATATCTTCATGAAGTTAGGGTCCAAGAAGTCAGCAAAAAAATACATATATGATCTTCTGTAATGTGGACTTGATTGCCATTGGCTTGTTTGTAACGGCCCAGGTCAATAAAGTGATAAACGCTAATTTAAGGATGGGCATCTTATATTTTAAAACAAAGGGTTTTTAGACAGAGTCTTAGAGTGAATTGCTAAGGAGTCAAGTCCTTAATGGGATTTTGGTTCTGTAGGCACAAATTCTTATACATTAAATGATATGACATATGTTATTAAAGTATGACATATTTTGCTCTTTCATTTATTTCCTTAGGCACATATTTAAGATCTTTATAAAACACTGGTGTATTAATAATGAAAGTTCATTGTCCACTCATGTACATAATTCCTCTCTCAACTTCACTGGAGTCTTTTAAAGTACTCATGTGTATTTTACATTTAAAGATTGCCAGTCTCACTTGACTAGTATTGATAAAACATTTATATTTTTAAAAATTGAGAGTGAAGCTGAGTGAGATCCTTCTGTGATAAATACCTCAAATGCATTGTGTATGCAGTATTTTGAGCTCATCTGGGCAGCAGTGTTCAAAGAGTGGGTATGGGAGCGTCCATCTAATGGGAGAAGTGTTTTATCGCTGTCATTGTTTCCCTGATACTGATAATAAAAAAGTAGACTGACTTTTCATAAGTTTTATTGGTTTTAAATTCTCTGCAAATAATGCACCCCTTAGTGCTTGCATTGGAAATTGGAAGTGGTCGAACAGGAGATGGCAAGAGTGAAGGTCAACATTCTAGGAATCAGTGAACTAAAATGGACTGAAATGGGCGAATTTAACTCAGATGACCATTATATCTACTACTATGGGCAGGAATCCCTTAGAAGAAATGGAGTAGCCATCACAGTCAACAAAAGAGTCTGAAAGGCAGTAGTTGGACGCAATCTCAAAAATGACAGAATGATCTCTGTTCGTTTCCAAGGCAAACCATTCAATATCACGGTAATCCAAGCCTATGCCCCAACCAGTAACACTGAAAGAAGCTGAAGTTGAACGGTTCAATGAAGACCTACAAGACCTTTTAGAACTAACACCCTAAAAAGATGTCCTTTTCATTATAGGGGACTGGAATGCAAAAGTAGAAAGTCAAGAAACGCCTGGAGTAATAGGCAAATTTGGCCTAAGAATCCCCATGAACAGAGGATCCTGACAGGCTACAGTTCATGGGGTCTCAAAGAATCAGACACAACTGAGTGACTAAGTACAGCACAAGAAGTAGTTCATGACTATTTCTTTGATTTATGAACAAAAAATATGTTTTTTCCTGAGTTTTAGCCACCAGTTTTGGGCTGTTACTTATTTCTTTAGTAACAATTACATTTTTGAGTTATTGATGATCCCTCTGGCTATAAAATAACTTCCTTAAACTGAAAAGTCTGCCTTCCATTTGGTAAATATTTTAAGCTCAATTTTTCACTCTGGGAAACTGAAGAAGTTAATTTTTTGGTATGTGATAGGTATGTGATCAAATTAACAGCAAAGCCAGGCTTTTGAGGAATTGATACTCTTAGCTACTATATATGAGAAGTATATTAGAATTAAATCTGACATTACCAATGGTGAACTTCTCTGTTAATATCCTGAGGAAAGCTTATTTCCCTTAGTTTGCAAGTATCTGCCAATGTTAAGGAATATTTTGTCTCTAATTTGATCAAAGCACCCATAACCTGTGCAGCCAAGTAGTCAAAGAGAAGGTCAAGACTTTAACAGGAATGGAACCTACAATCAGAAGTATTCCAGTGGATTGTGAACAAATAAATCAGAGGGGAAGAATACTAACGTATGCTTTTCCTGAAAAAGTTACCTTCAGTGGGTACTGAGGTCCTCTTAGTAAGGTTTATTACAAAGTTCATTATCTCGCTAGTCACTGAGGAGGGAAACTAGATGTAAGGACCTGAATTAAACCTGTGAGTTTAATTGGCCAGGCTTGTGCTTAGTCGCTCAGCTGTGTCCTACTCCCTTGCACCAGGCTACAGCAAACCGAAACACCTTTCAGAAGCAGGCCAGTGCCCCAGGGTTTAGTTCTCATGTTGGGGAAGAATCTATGCCTATCTCAAAGGGTGGGTGAGCTGATAAAGTGACTCGTATTCTGAAAACATCATAAAAAAAGGCATCTACAGACAACAGAGGGAAATTTTCTGTAGATATTTAATTTATAGGCATTTTCTCTGCTATATGTTTTCTACTAACCTTTTATTATTGAGGATAGAACTGGGAACTAAAAGTTCTATCACTCAAGGTAGCTACATTCTGGTGATAACATTCTGTGTAGGAAATAAAGCAGAGTAAGGGAACAGAATCAAGGCTGATTTTTTTTTTTAAGATGGAAATTGTTTCTGAGTTAGACAAACACACACAAAGTTGTGAAAACTAAGCTCACTGACTTAAAAGTTGCTTTTCAATTGGCCTAATTCATGCATGCTCAAAAGGGGCAAGTATCATAAGCTGCATCTGAACAAAAATCACATCTAGCCAGTTTCTGTGGGAGGGGAAGAGCACTGACTAATTTTGCTGAGCCATTTTGTCCTTTCATAAACAGGAAACTGTTCTAGATCTACTTCTTTGATCTCTACAATTGCTTAGGACTTATTTCAAGTTCAGGATCACATTTCACTTAAAAATTTAAAAAATAGAGATGTAATTTATGTAACATAAAATTTACTATCTTAAAGTGCATAATTAATTTTTAGTATATTCACTATGTTGTGCATCCTTACTAATTCCAAACATTTTCAACACGCCCAAAACAAAATGTCTCTGTTAGCAATCAACTCTAATTTCCATTTTTCCCCACCCTGATGCTGGGAAAGATTGAGGGCAGGAGAAGAGGGTGGCAGAGGATGAGATGGTTGGATGGCATCACTGACTCAATGGATATGAGTTTGAGTAAACTCCAGGAGTTTGTGATGGACAGGGAGGCCTGGCGTGCTGCGATTCATGGAGTCGCAAAGAGTTGGACACGACTGAGTGACTGACCTGAAATGAACTAGTGTTTGCAACAGGGGTGACTACTTCCATTCATTGCTTTGGAATACAGAGCATACATGACACCACATAATTGGAGTAGTGTTTGATTTTTATAATGCTATTTTCATTTTGACCCCAACAATACCCCAGTGTGGCAGTAATTAGAACAACAGAAATAATAAAAAGAAAGCTCAGCAAAATGATGTTTAGTATTGGCTTTTGATACTTTACATAGTTCTTATTTGTCCCTTTTTAATGTCTCTTTTCCTAGGAATTTCCACAATGCATCAACAGAATAGCCAGTATTTGAAATGCTAGCAGTGTAATTTAACTGAACCCAAATATATTGACTTAGATTTAGGTATTAGTTTCTGTTGGTAAATTATTACACAACACACTCCTACTGAGTTACCTCTGCACTACATGAAGAGAAAAATACAACAATCTCACACTTTGTTATAATGAACAAGATCCTTATATGCCCAAGGAACACAACCATTCACAACAGAAGACTAGAAAACTAAAAATACTTGTGATTAAAGCAGAACAAAAGCAATGTATCAATGAAGTGAAATAATATTTGCACACTGTATTATTGTGTTTTCAAGCTTATTACAGTATATGTTGTTTAGTCACTAAGTCATGTCCCACTTTTGTGATCCTATGGACTACAGCCCTCCAGGCTCCTCTGTCCATGGGATTTCCCAGGCAAAAATACTGGGGTGGATTGCCATTTGTTTCTCCAGCAGATCTTCCCAACCCAGGGATAGAACTTGCATCTCCTGCATTGCAGGCAGATTCTTTTACCACTGAGCCACCAGGGAAAGCAAGATATGATTTTTCAAGTCCAAAGTGGTAAATATTGTTGAAAATACTTGATCTGAGAGATATCTTAAACACTTCTCGGAATTCCCTGGAAGTCCAGTGGTTAGGACTCCACGCTNCTGAGAGATATCTTAAACACTTCTCGGAATTCCCTGGAAGTCCAGTGGTTAGGACTCCACGCTCCAAGCCTTTCAGTGTAGCCAAAAAAAAAAAAAAAGGAGAACCACTTTTTGAACCTTGCCCCAAGTAACAAGAACAAAATATAGGTAAATTATAGCTTACTTACCCCTCACTTTCCACAGAGTTCCAGGATTCAAAAAGCTCTGATAAAAACAGGAGAAAAAAGAGCTTTACTTTAAAGCATTCCATAGTCCAGCAAGGAATTTCAAAAATATTTTGAGAGAATATATTTTATCTTTCTTGCAAAAACACAAACTTTTAACTTCACCCATGGGCTATCTTTAAAACCTGAAGAATACTCAAGTTGGTACTGAATTTGCCATTTGGAAATACACATCTCGGTTTTTACACCAATTCCTCTTCTTATGAATACTGTTTATTCAGGATTATGTGAAAAGACATTCTAGACAGAATCTGAATAGAAATTGTGGAGCCATTCAATAGAGAATTATAAGAAACATTATTTTGGATAAATTTTGTCAGCCATAACAAACTGAAGAATAGGACTTACATGATGACCAGAACATGATCAGAGTGATCCAGGTTATAATCTTATTAATGGAGTACATTAAATAATTATATTTTCTAAAGCACCAAATAGACTTTTTTTTTATAAAAAGCAATTTATGAGTCACTCCCTTATATTTAAAATCAAAATCTTATTTTTCAAATGCAACTCTATTTAATAAATGGGGAGCTCTACTATTTTTACTATATGTAAATAGCCTGTTGCTTTATCAATTAAATATATAAAAGCACTTTGAAGACTAAAGCATCATATATGTTTATGGTAGAATTATTATGTTTTCCATAGAGCTGACTGACAAAATGGAAAAACTTTAGGACAAATGTGGTTGCTTAATTTATATTAAACATTTTAAACTCTCAGAGGTTTAATTATATGTGTTAGCAATAGCAGAAATAACTATTCTGTGGAAAATTTCATGTGAACTCTATTCTCACAAGAAAATATTTTAAAGATTTGGCTGTCTATTTTTATAGGCCTAAGAAGTAGTTCTTATGCGCTTCCCTGGTAGCTCAGACAGTAAGAATCCACCTGCAATGTGGGAGACCTGGGTTCAATCCCTGAATTGAGACGATCCCTTGGAGGAGGGCATGGCAACCCACTCCAATATTCTTGCCTGAAGAATCCCCATGAACAGAGGATCCTGACAGGCTACAGTTCATGGGGTCTCAAAGAATCAGACACAACTGAGTGACTAAGTACAGCACAAGAAGTAGTTCATGACTATTTCTTTGATTTATGAACAAAAAATATGTTTTTTCCTGAGTTTTAGCCACCAGTTTTGGGCTGTTACTTATTTCTTTAGTAACAATTACATTTTTGAGTTATTGATGATCCCTCTGGCTATAAAATAACTTCCTTAAACTGAAAAGTCTGCCTTCCATTTGGTAAATATTTTAAGCTCAATTTTTCACTCTGGGAAACTGAAGAAGTTAATTTTTTGGTATGTGATAGGTATGTGATCAAATTAACAGCAAAGCCAGGCTTTTGAGGAATTGATACTCTTAGCTACTATATATGAGAAGTATATTAGAATTAAATCTGACATTACCAATGGTGAACTTCTCTGTTAATATCCTGAGGAAAGCTTATTTCCCTTAGTTTGCAAGTATCTGCCAATGTTAAGGAATATTTTGTCTCTAATTTGATCAAAGCACCCATAACCTGTGCAGCCAAGTAGTCAAAGAGAAGGTCAAGACTTTAACAGGAATGGAACCTACAATCAGAAGTATTCCAGTGGATTGTGAACAAATAAATCAGAGGGGAAGAATACTAACGTATGCTTTTCCTGAAAAAGTTACCTTCAGTGGGTACTGAGGTCCTCTTAGTAAGGTTTATTACAAAGTTCATTATCTCGCTAGTCACTGAGGAGGGAAACTAGATGTAAGGACCTGAATTAAACCTGTGAGTTTAATTGGCCAGGCTTGTGCTTAGTCGCTCAGCTGTGTCCTACTCCCTTGCACCAGGCTACAGCAAACCGAAACACCTTTCAGAAGCAGGCCAGTGCCCCAGGGTTTAGTTCTCATGTTGGGGAAGAATCTATGCCTATCTCAAAGGGTGGGTGAGCTGATAAAGTGACTCGTATTCTGAAAACATCATAAAAAAAGGCATCTACAGACAACAGAGGGAAATTTTCTGTAGATATTTAATTTATAGGCATTTTCTCTGCTATATGTTTTCTACTAACCTTTTATTATTGAGGATAGAACTGGGAACTAAAAGTTCTATCACTCAAGGTAGCTACATTCTGGTGATAACATTCTGTGTAGGAAATAAAGCAGAGTAAGGGAACAGAATCAAGGCTGATTTTTTTTTTTAAGATGGAAATTGTTTCTGAGTTAGACAAACACACACAAAGTTGTGAAAACTAAGCTCACTGACTTAAAAGTTGCTTTTCAATTGGCCTAATTCATGCATGCTCAAAAGGGGCAAGTATCATAAGCTGCATCTGAACAAAAATCACATCTAGCCAGTTTCTGTGGGAGGGGAAGAGCACTGACTAATTTTGCTGAGCCATTTTGTCCTTTCATAAACAGGAAACTGTTCTAGATCTACTTCTTTGATCTCTACAATTGCTTAGGACTTATTTCAAGTTCAGGATCACATTTCACTTAAAAATTTAAAAAATAGAGATGTAATTTATGTAACATAAAATTTACTATCTTAAAGTGCATAATTAATTTTTAGTATATTCACTATGTTGTGCATCCTTACTAATTCCAAACATTTTCAACACGCCCAAAACAAAATGTCTCTGTTAGCAATCAACTCTAATTTCCATTTTTCCCCACCCTGATGCTGGGAAAGATTGAGGGCAGGAGAAGAGGGTGGCAGAGGATGAGATGGTTGGATGGCATCACTGACTCAATGGATATGAGTTTGAGCAAACTCAGGGAGATAGTGAAGGATAGGAAGCTTGATGTGCTGCAGTTCACGGGTTGCAAAAAGTCAGAGACAAATGACTGAATAACAACCATCCACTGGCAACCACTGACCTCTTTCGCTCTGTGGAATTGCCTATTTTTGACATTTCATGTATCCTTTATTTCATGTATCCTTTAGCGTATGACTTCTTTCCTTAGGATGTTTTCAAGATTCATTCATGTAGCCTAAAACAGTATTTCATTCTTTTTTGTGACTGAATAATAATCCACTGTGTGAATATACCACAACTATGTTTAGCCATTCATGCGTCAATGGACATTTGTATTGTTTCTTTTTGCTATTATGAATACCTACACTATGGAATGCTATAAACATCTGTGTACAAGTTTTTATGTGAGTATGTTTTCAGTTCTCTTGGTTATATGCTTAAGAGGAATTTGTGATTCATGTAGTAATTCTATGTTTACCTTTTGAAAAGACTGAAAAACTGTTTGCCACAGCAACTGCACCATTTTACATTCCCACCAGCAGTTACAGTGGGTTCCAGTTATTTCCATTTTCAGCAGCACTTGTTATTGTCTGTCTTCTTATTTTAGCCATCCTAAGTGAATGTGAAGTGGTATCTAACTGTGGTTTTGAGTTACATTTTTCTAATGAATAATTTTTTCATGTGTTTATTGAACATTTGTTTATGTTCTTTGGAGAAATGTCTATTCAAACCCTTTGCCCATTTAAAATTGGGTTGTGTTTTTAGTGTTGTAAAAGCTCTTTATATATTCTAGATACAAGTTCCTTATCACATGTATGACTTGAAAATATTTTCTCCAATTCTATGTTGCCTTTTTACTTCCTTGATGGTGTCCTTTGCATTCCCGAAGTTTTCTCTTTTGATAAAATTCAATTTATTTTCTTGTTTTGGTGGTTTGTGCTTTAGTTATCATATCTAAGAAACCACTGCCTAATTCAGGATCACACAGATTTATAGCCATCTTACTTTATAAGAGTTTTATTGTTTTAGTTATTACCTTTATGTCTTGGGTCCACTTTGAATTAATTTTTGTATATGGTGTGAGGTACAGGTCCAACTTCATTCTTTTGCATGTGAGTATCAAATTGTCTCAGCGTTATTTATTGAAAAAAACGATCTTTAATTTATTGAGTTGTCTTAGCACCCTTGTTAAAAACCAGTTGACCATAGATGTTTGAGTTTGTTTATGGACTCTTGATTCTATTCCATTGGTTTGTGTCCTTATGCCAGCACCACACTTGTTTACTGTAGCTTTGCAGTAAAATTTGAACTTGGGAAGTGTCAGTCTACCAACTTTGTTCTTTTTCAATACTGTTTTGGCTATTGGGGGGGGTCCCTTGAGTTTGAACGTAAATTTAGGGACAGCTTATCCATTTCTGCAAAAAAGCCCTGTTGTAATTTTGATAGGAAGTACGCTGAATCAGTTGCCATATTTGGAGAGTATTGCGATCTTAACAATATTAAGTTTTCCAGTCCATAATCATGGTCTATCTTTCATTTATTTAGATCTTCTTCAGTTTCTTTCAGCTGAGTTTTGTAGTTTTTAGTGTGCAAGTCTTACTCTTCTTTGGCTAAATTTATTCCTAAATATTTTATTCTTTTTTATGTTATTGTAAGTGGGCTTGTTTTCTTAATTTCAATTTCAGAGTTTTCATTGATAGTGTGTAGAAATATGACTAACTTTTCTATATTGATCCCAATTTGTGGTGAATAGTAAATTTGGGTTAGAAACACACCATAGCATGAATCAAGGAACTTAGGTAATGTTCACCCATAAACTGACTTAATGAGCAGAAATCCAACTTGTTGTTATTGTTGTTGATAACTTTTTAACTTATTATTTTAAGATTATTCCTTCAAGTATTACTTCTGTTTTTCTTTTTGCTAGGTGAGGAGTGAGTGGTAGGAGCATAGAGCACAGGCAGGTAATTTGGCTTTTGCTGTCTATAGTCTCAGGTCTTTCACATGTGTTTTTCTTATTTAAGTAAAACACCAAAGGAAAAATCCTCAGCACCTTGTCTCTCTGTATCATGAGGATACATTCTGTATATTCCTCAATGCTATACATTGTAAAGATTAATGGTGATACAGAGAAAGCTAATTTATTCAACCAATTTCTATATTCTAGGTCTTATGCTAAGTGCTAAATGATAAGGAAAACTCAAGGATCAAACCTGAGTCTCCTGTGTCTCCTGCATTGCAAG